GAAAAAAAAAAAAAAAAAAAAAAAAAAAAAAAAAAAAAAGAATAAGGACTTGATAAATGTAAACTTAATGACAGGAACACATTCTCCTCTGTGGTCCTCCTCAGTTTCCTCATTCATTATAAACATTACGGAGAACCTTCAATCATCGTTCTCGGCACCGGGGATACAATGATGGACAAAACTCAGTCCTTTTAACTTTTAAGGAGTCTAGTGGGGAAACGGAAAGATGACCATGAGCTACCACACCGAGAAATGTTTAGAGCATAGCCAGATAAGGAACTACAGAGACCCTACACACGAAGATTTATGACACCTCTCTGTGATTTAAAATAAAAATACCAAAGATACTGGGTTGCAGAGATTAAGACAGCATCTTCCTGGATGTTCTGATTACAAATTCCAGATAAATTCATTGAAACCAAACGTTTCTCTTGTTTTCAGTCCTTTAGCCTTACTGAGTCTCAAAACAATGATTATTAGTCTTTTGGTCAAGCCAGCATGACTAGGGTTAAAAATAACCTCAAGGCATGGAAAAGCTCAGACGTATCCAATGCTGATTTAGTGTCAAAAAAGTGGCCTCTTAAGTAGACAACTGAAGGAATACGGAGTAAACAATATAAAACCGGAAAGTTGTACCTGACTTCTAAGATCTAAAGCTGTACATTCTTTCATTTGCTCACTCACTCATTCATCCAATAAGCTACTTCACATTTAGAGAAAGATCAGAAAAATGTCTCCCTTTTTGAGAGGCAAGAGAGATCCTTCGTCCCCAAATAATCCCACCATCAGCATCACAACTTGCTCCAGTTCTTCATGCACACCTGTCACTGGTGGGAGCCTGAAGCTCCAGTCACTCCTAGCTACGGTGATAGTTGTCAGAATCAAAATGGTGTCACTTGTGTCAAACCCTAACAAAAATAAATATAACCGGGAGGCTCAGAAGGGAGGGCATACCTATGGCAAAATTCTCGGAAGGGCTCTTAGGCACAAATGCCTGTAACCGGAACTTTTGCCAAAGACTTTCTAAGCTGAGCTTACTACATTAGTTACAAGGACAGCTAGCCGGATGCACGAGAACACTTGCCTAGCCCACTAGCGAACTGCTATCAACTCCTGCGATAAGCCCCTGTAACTAATGTTCTCCTTGTTTCAAAACAAATCACATGTACTCTTCTCTTTTGCCTTTAAAAGCTTCCCCTTGCCTCAACCTTTTTGGATATGCCTATCTATGGTCCCCATAGCCTGCAAAGCCCAGATCTGCAAATCCCTCGCGCACTCCCGAATAAACTCAATATATTTGGAGAATCTGTTTAGTTAAGTTGACACTACTCCAGCCACTAGAGCCCCACAGGCCTGTCAACCTCGGCATACGCCACTCCCTCTTGCATGGTGAGCTCCTATTCATCCTTCAAGACCCAATTTAAGGCTTCCTTTCTGAAGCTTTCCCCGAGTCCCCAGGGGGGTGCCTCATCCGAGTGCCTTCTTTGGTCTTCCCTCTACTGAGTGGATGCTCCGTTATACTGTCAGCTCCTGAGGCCAAGCAACACGTCTGAAGGCTCCGCGCAGAGTAGGATGAATGGCGGCCATTCCACAGATGAGAAAAGAAAGTCTCCAACAGAGAAACTGAGTATCTCAGGAACCAGACCAACAGCCAGGTCTCCCGAGTCGTCCAGACTCAAGAGCTGAGTCCACCATTCTCCTCATCCAGCGCCGCCAGAGCCCGCGGGACTTCTCGGGAAACGGAAGCCTGGAAACTTGAGTTTTCTTTAGGGAATGAATGGAGAGGGGGCCGTGGAAGGCGCGGGGAAGGGACAGACGGGGAGAGAACCAAGAACCCACCGGTCCGGCTTTAGGTTGCTCTGGACCGCGGCAGCGGCCGGGGATTCTGGGGTCCAGACGACTCGGGGTGGGGTAGGAGGCCACCAGGACCCAACAGAGAGGCCAGTGCTTACAAAGACAGAGAGACGCCAAGGACAACTAAACACAGCCCCTCCCCAAAGCCCACCTGCCGCGTCTTCCTTACCAGGGAAAGGCGGCCATCTTCCCGGTCACATGACCGCTCACTCTGGGGCTAGCAGACCCACTGCTCCCGTCCAGACCCCGCCCCGCCCCGGCCGCCATGATTGTGAGGGGCAGCTGCCAGCCCCGCAAAGCCCGGGCTGCGCCGTCCGCCGGCGCCATGATTGTGAGGGGCGCAGAACTTCTTTGCGCCGTGGTCGTGAGGGGCAGCTGACTGCTCTGGTGGACAACACGCCCACCAGCGCCATGATGGGGAGGGGCACGACTGTGCTGTCGGCCGCCCAGCCCACCTGCGCCCTCTAGGGGAGGAGAGGACTTCAGACACCGGCGGAGCGAAGACACAACCTGCTGCTGCGGGTAGGAAGCTCTCGGGTTCAGCTGGTGCGTGGCTTTGCGGCTAATGCGCTGTTCGGCGGGATAAGCCGCGCCCTTCTCTAGGCCTCCGCTTTACCCTCTGTGCTTTGTGGGAGTTGGGACTTCCAGTATCCCCCTCCCACAACCAACAACCTAGGTGTGTAAGGGTTGCCCTAGATCCAGCTAGGATTAAATGGAACTTAACTAGAGATAGGCCAAATGGGGAAATTGGGATTAGCATTTCACCCCACTTAGCAAAGCTGTAGGTTTCTGTGAGGATGGATATCTATTTCGACCACAGAATTTAGGTGCTTTCTTAAAAAGTGGATAAATCACAGGATATTTTCCAAACAGCTACCATTTACGGAATGCTCACTGCTTGTGTCAGGCACTGTGCTGAGCACTTTGCATGCACCCTTCATCCTTTCCTCACTACAAACCTCTGAAATAAATACCATTATTTGGGGAAAACTGAAACAAACAAAAAGTGAATTGCCCAAAGCTTCTTAGTGCCTGAACCAAGATTTGAACTCTTAACTCCAAACCAGAGTAATGGAAGAGACCGCTGGTCAATCCCAAAGCAGTATTTGATCTTCGCTTTTTTCCTTTTTCTCGAGTGTCTTTTCTGACAGGAGGTTAGAAAACTACATTGTCAAATCGGTTCCTCTGGAAAAGGCAATAGAATGTACTTTCAAATCTGATGGAATATGTAATTTTCCACCCAGTCCTAGTTTTTTCATCTGTGACATTAGGATAATTCTGACTTTAAGGTGAAGGGAGACGATTATAAAATGCCTGGCACGTGGTCAGTACTCAACAGAAGCTGAACTTTATGAGGCGAGCGAAAGCAGCATATTGTACGTCTGTGATCTTTGGGTTTTCAGAGTGCTTCTCACCGTGACAACGTGCTGTGCAATCTATCATAAAGCGTGCTTCTCACGCTTGAATGTTTACACCATTTACCTGGGGGATAGTATTAAAATGCAGGCTCCGGGGCAGTAGATCTGGGGCCAGGCCTGGGCTTCTGCATTTCTGATACGTTCCCAGGTGGCACTGCTGCAGGTGGTCCCTTTGGATATGAGGGACTGTAGCAATTGTGGGTGGTGAAAGAGTGCCACAGAATTCAGGAAGCAGTAGAGCAGAGGCAGTGTCATGTGCTCTTAGGCATATTCAAACAAACCCCTGCTATATCATGTATATGAAACAGTAACAGAAGTAATCCTGAAACAGGTTGTTAAATTTATGGAAAGTATGTACAACTAAGGGATTTTCCCCACCATAAAGCAAAACCATGGTTCTGGAAGCAACTTTGCCAACATCCTCAAGAAAGAGAGAAACTGATGGCCGTAGAGAACCACTGATCAAAGAAGGAAGAGAATAGATAAATAAGTGAAAAGGTAATATTTTATTGTCGAGTATAATTTTTGAAAGATATGATTTTTGCCCTCAGAGCTATTGTTGAACCTCACCACGGAAGTGATTCTATCGTACCGTAGCCCAGTTTGACTTACTGTATTCAATGACTATAGGTCTCTTCTGTTTTTTAAAATTACTTTTTATAAACTACATAGATACCCACTATGGTCCCTGAGGGATGAAGCATTCCAACTCCATTTTCTTATGTTTTTATAACTGTTACTTTTTATTCAGGGGTGGTAGTCTGTGGTTGTTCATGGAACAATGACTTCTGAAGGAAGAAAAGGATCTTCATCTCCAGAATGGGTCCTTCGGTTTTCAGCTCAGTATGAGTAATAAGGAGTCTCCAGTCATATCCACTATTCCCGATGTATGAAGTGAACAAGAGTTTAAGGATGGCCAGAGGACAGTGAGGGATTCTTCCCACATGGCCTTGAAGATTATCAAATGGAAGATCTCCTCAGTAACAGGTGAAAATAAGCATGTCACTATGCTAGCATTAGATGATTAGGTAGTAACAAGATCAGGATTCTTAAAGCTGTGCAAGTTAGCAGCTTTGATGTGAGCTTCAACCCTAGCATGCTCTCTTCTGCCTCTACTTCCCCATTCACTCCTTAGTAGGCTTCTAGCTCTTAATAAGCTAAGACATTTCCAGCTCTAGTGAACTTTTGCCTTCTGAAAAGTCCACCTCATGCAAACTCAAATGCTGAACTGAGAAACACAAAAATAAAACAAAGAAATACAAAGAAACCCACAAACAAACAGAAATGCTGAACTAAACACTGGTAAAGGTCCCATATTAAGTACAGGTATATACCTTCTGTGGGACTTTTAATTGTAAAACATGATCATTTTACAATATTGTTTGGGCCAGATATTTTTCAATAACTATTCCTTAATAGTCCTTTCCTTGATAAATAAAAAAGATCAAACTGGATTTCCTTTGAGATGAAAAGTTTATTTTGCCTTTTGCCTAGAAGCAAAACTAGTGAAAATTAAAGTATAAAAATAAATACATTTACATTAAAGGACATTCCACTCAAAGTAAAAATAATAATAATAAAAATAATGTATATAAATAAAAATCCATCAAAAGCACAAAACAGTGTCTGGCACTTTTATGAGAAAAACCTGTGAAAAATTTTAAATGTGTAAAACACACACACTTTTACCTTTAAATTAAAAACACACTAAAGTTTCTCATCCTTAATCTAAAACTAGTTTTAACTTTCTCCAAAACATGCTATTTGTTTTAACTAATTTGCATTAGTATACACACAACTTTTAGCATCTATCTTTATTATATAAGTAAGACGTATCCTGAGTTTTCAGAATGATAAAACATAGTTTATCATATTAAGAAGATAATAATTTGATATATGTTGCCTACAAATAAAAAATTGGTAACTCAGATTTTTTTGACTGTCTTCTAATTTTGTAGTTCACTCATTCAATAAATGATACATCTCAATAAAGAAAACCAAGTTTACAGCCAGAGTAGGTTATTTTCTGTCTACAACTGAATGTAAAAGTTAAATTTTAAATGGAACAGAAATCAAAGAAACAATCTTTATCTCCATATTCTTAAAAGGATATTAAGAATATATATACGCTGCATTTTCAAAATACCAGTATCTCTTTAAAACTCAAGTTAGAAAGATTAAATATACATAGTCCCAATTTTATGTGAGATGCACAAAGACCTTTTTGGAAATGGTATGATAAATTAACAGTGATATTCTCTTTCATAAAATCATGTTCTCTTGGTAACATTTTTTGGTTGATACTTTAAATGAATATGTTAATGATGAAAAACCTTAACCATCAGTGCCTTTAAGTAATGCAGAATTTTAACTAGGCAACATTACTAATCCCATTTGAAATACAGATTTATTATTATATTCTGTAGCCCTTTATTCTCTCCTAAATCAAGCATGCCAGAAAAAGCATACTACGAAGAAACAAAATGTACAGACTAAATAGAAAATATAACTGCATGCAACACATTATTCTTATTTTACAGAAATGGATGTAATAATGCATTAAGTGCTACATTCATGAAGATTGTGCTATCTTCCCCAAATTTGTTACCCTCCATAAAAAAATCTTATCTAGTACAAATGTTTCAAATGGTACTAGGGTTATATCTGTGAAACCTAACATTTCTGTGAGACAACTAGTTGTTGACAGGACCCACAGCTACTTTAGTAGCAGATTTTAAGTGGACCAGAATCAGCAGGTAAGTGGTTATACTGTTTGTAAATAGAAGAATATGGACACTGAGAGACTAATCCTAGTTTTTAAAGTTATAAAGCCAGAGAAAAACATTCTCCTACAATAATTCCCCCTTGAATAGAAGTGTCTAATTTGTTTACCAAATTCAGCAATCAGCAGGTAGAAATGAATGAAATTTGTTTTACAACTTATTTATAATTTGTCATATCACTTCAATATTTTGTAAAAATAAATCCAAATGTCCTTTAAGTTTACAAAAAGGGTCTCTGTAGACATCTGAGCACATAAAACAAACTTATGTTTTATAGGTTAAGCATAGAGATGAGGCAATTACTAAACACATTTTTGTCTTCACCAAAACCTAATATTAAGAGGAAAATGGGGGTGTGGGGCAGGAATTGGCCAGACTGACTAAATTATCCAGATAATTGCTGAGCCCTTTGATGTCACTTTGCCTGTGTAAACAGAGTCAGGGTTAACTACAAAGTCTTGAGCCAGGAAAATAATATGGATAATAATTCTCCCCCTTTTTTATCCTAATGAATGTTGTCTTCTTAAATTGTCGCAACATTTGGCTGCTTTCTTTGGGTTTTTCCTGCATATACTCCTAAAAATAGAGCAAAACTAATATTATTTCTCAATGTTAGTTTTTCTATAATGTTACCATTTAATGAGTGCTTATTATATACTAGTAACTGAGCTAAGCAATATGTATTATCATATTTAATACTGAAATGTAATAATCCTGAGGTAGAAATTGTAACTACCATTAGAAGGATAATAAAACTGAGGCATAGGAGAGTACTTGCCTAAAGTAACAGCTAGAAGTAGAAACTCTGAGAACCCAATTCCGCCGGATTTGTTATTTTGCATAACCACCTCCTACTCTGCTTTGATTAATGGATTCTGAATTTCAGCATAAACTCTTTAGTCAAACACAAAACATCAAATGAGGAAATATGTTTTAAAACATGACATCAGAGAATGCAATTTAGTTTGTAAAAACTTATGAATAACTTCAAATGCTTTGTAGTATACTTTAACACTTTAGAATTCTACTTCAGACTAGAAGAGTATGATATTGACCTAACAAAAATAAGTTTTCTTAAAATTGCTTAATAAAGGGTTTGTATCCATGTAGATCAAATCAAAGCATAATTTCCAATTTATCTGAAACATAATCCAGGCCATTAAAAATCTGAGCAGGAAAGAGTAGTCTTTTTAAGATCAACTGTGAATGTTCAGATTCATAGTTAGCATTTTAATCAGTTAATATCCTAAATTCTCAGTTTATGTAAAAGAATAGAATTTTTGAGCCTCTTTCACTTGTCTGAATATGCACTCATGTATAATAAATAAATCTTTAGAAAAAACGGGAAAGAATTTTTGTACTTGTTTAGATACATATTAATTTTTGTATATTTAATTCAAGGGTTAAGTTCATTTATATTAATAATTATGTTGCAATACAATTAAACCTTAATAGTTCTAAATGTGGAACTTTATTGTATGTTATTAACTATACTGACTGCCTGTTCATCGTTTATACTGTTGAGTATTACTGAACAGAAACAGTAATTTCTACTCTGCTTATACGTTCACAAATGACAAATAGTGGAGATGAAATGCATGAGAAAAGAACATGGAGAGCAGCCACTTGGGCAAACTGATATTAGGCAAAGCAACAACAGTAATTCCTCAATGATTTTCCAACTGGTAAGATTTGTCACAATATATAACACTAACATGGGAAAAATGGACAATGTCTTAAAATTCCACATGACTTCATAAGCAACAGATCTGGTATTTGGTCTGGGTTCTTCCAAACTAGCTGATTCTGACTAGAGTAAGCAGGATCTTCAACTATGTAATCCTCTTTTTAAAAACTCCATTGATTGTCACAGTGATTTCCAAAATATGACCTTTTAAATTTTCCTATATATATATATATATGTGACCTTATGAATTATATTCACTCCATACACATAAAAGGTCAGCGATCAGTTCAAAGTTATGATCAATAGCCTGTTCCCTCTGAACTTACGTGAACAAATAACAAAAAATTGCTTATGTTGCTTGTTCCCTCCTAATTTAGAGAAAATTACTTAGTAATAAAAGCACTAAAATTTGCCTATTGTATACTGATGTAAATATTAGAATTGATTACAGGTTTAATCTTCATTGCCTCGTAATTAAGTTTCTTTTAATCTTTAGGAAGCAGTATAATTAAAGCACAGCATTTTGAAAATATTTTTAATGGATCACATCATTTTTAGTGAGCTTAATCAAAGTGTCTTAACAAAGATACCTAAAAAATATTAAAGCATTTGGTTAGGAGCTTTGCTTTAGCTGAACACTGAATTTGTCTTCTTGCCACCATAAATAAAATTTTAAAATACAGTTTTTAGTTTTGCCCTTAAATAGTCCTGAAATAATGAAATTTCATAAGGAGTAATTTAGCTCAAACTTCTTACCGAGCAAAAGATTAAGACCCCCTCCCACCTGGCATATTCACATGTGATCTTGTGGTCAGGAGAAATTTTTCATCCCCTAAGGCATAGATATGAATATTTCTGGGTGACACACTTCCCTAAAGCTGAACAGACATGCATCAATTTAGACATCAGATGATTATCTTTTACTCATATATAAACAGGTTTTCTGAATTAAGCATGGAAAATTCTATAAATTTTCCAGAATAAAAAATACATAGTGTTTTCCATAGAATTATTACAGAAATCAAGATTGGAAACACAGTTTTACTAAGATTTCCTGATTGCCACAAAATACTAACACAATAGGAATGACCAGGAATATGCCAAAATTATGGTGGCAAAGAAAGACAATGTATTCCACTTGTGTTGCCTGAGTTATGGGGCAGCTTGTGCACTTCTCTCTAATGAATGGGCTTCAGGAATTCATTTTCTACACACCTGAAACAGGCGCTCTGTTAGGCACTCTGCTCTGTGAAGACTTCTGTCTATTTTGCACAACCCCCTTCACTGATGTCTTAGGGGTTCTAATCGAATATAAAAAAATTAATAAGTCACTTGCACGAAGGTCTAAATGTTCAAAATTCAAATTAAGCAACCACACTGAATCAACTGTTCAAAGCACAAACCAGCTTAAAAAAAATTTAAGTCTCATGCATGCACACAGTAAGGAAAGCTATACTTTTGCTTCAGCAGAGACTGTAACCATGGCTTATACTTTGTTGGAGAATCACTTTGGTGATGCTGAACTTACTATATGGATGTTTAAGATATTTAATGAGAAAGATGGTATGAAGTGAAAAATAAAAACATGCCAACATAAGATGATAATTAAATATACAACAGTACACCAAGAGGGTTATCTTTCAAGACAAAACTTTTAAAGATCTTCCCAATGCTATAAAAAAAAAAAAATCACGTTTGAAAAATAGTTATCCTTTATATAAAAAACACTATATTTTTCCCCCTTTTTTCTTCCCTCTCAAAGCTAATCTTGATTTAAATATTTTTAAATACCCATGTGTGTGTTCATGGCATTCTTACCCTTGTCTACTAAGTAGCCTATGAACAGGTGCGTTCTGTCCTTGGTTTGGCTGAAGGACTCTGTTGACAAATTAAATAAAAAATTAATTC